CATATGCTCCATAGGGGCTGGCGAAGCAGCCATCACCATGGCAGATGCGGCGGCCATTAGGAGAGCAGTACTGTAGAACTTCATGTTGTTTAGTTGCAAATCTCTGTCTTGATTGTTCAAAAGAGAGGTATGAGAGTTGTGGTACTAGACGTTCAGTATTTATACATACCAAATTACCAAGTGTCTATTAAACCCTGTACAGAAACCAGCAAGATTGTATGCTATTGGAGCAGATTTAATCTGGTATTTCCGAGATGTATTTGTGGCTGCAAATGTTATTTGCCGTCATTTTATCTCTCGACACCGAAAATAATCCCAATAGAATGAATAATTGCAGGAATATATGGTGATAGCCGCATGGCATATACTTATGGATCCAGAGACCAGACTCCAGACTCAACGCCTAAGGATAAAACTGAAGGATGGGCTTTTACTTTCATATAGACTTTTTCCTTTCAAGTTTCAACAGTGTTTCAAGTTTTAAGTTTTATGTAGATCACTTTGAAGTTTCACTGGTGACTTTTCTGTGTTTCTGTTTCACTGTTCCATCTTTCAGCCGCTCTGGGCCTCTAGCGGTCTGGCCTCGGTGGATTTCTATATCCGCTTAAGAGTTATGACTGAGCTAGGAGTAAACTGTAAAGCAAACTGTTACTCACTTACTCTACATTGTTTTATATTGTCCTTGGTCCGGCTGATTATTTTAAAAGTGTACGAATGATATCTGAATATATACCTGGGTAGTGGGTACAGGGTAGAGGACTAGTGGCCTACTAGTGGCCCAAGTGGGTACATAGTCTGGGCTGGTAAAAGAGTAAGACGCCGACATTTGGCAAAAAGACATGACAGTCGTGTCGGGCTGTCAGCACGACTTTTTGTCAGGCATGTCGGTCGGCGTCGGGTGTCGACAAACCTAGTGTTAACACAGACCCGACTGTCGCAACACCAAACGACATGTCAGACATGTAGCGGCGACATTTTTCTAATGGTGTCTGTCGCTACCGGATATGTACTAAAAGTACCAACCCAGATTTTTATGGCGCATTTTATAGATAGCTCTGATTTCTATACAAGAGATTCAAAAAGTTACAAGTACCGAAATGTAAGTGCTTTACAGTTTTTTAATAATATATATATCATAATAAATTAACAATCGAGGTCACCTTCCTGTTCGTGAGCTGACAGTAAATTTTTGGCTAGTTGCTAAAGCCTCGCATGAGTAAGTCAAAGGCCAGAATTGGGGACTGGTTCGGGTTGAAGTTATAGAATATTATCGCCTATCAGGCATATCGGGCAAATTCTGAAACAACTGTATCTGTACTTGGATAGATTCTCAAATTGTGGTCCATTTCCATCTGATTACGGTCACAAATGTACGTGTACGTAGCCTATTCTATCGTGGTTGTTTGTATCCTGCACCATCGTACGTGTATGTATCCTGTACAATTCTACTTGTATGTATTCGAAACTCAACCATCTTGTTCTTGGCATGCTTTAAGATCATTCACTACTACAGCCAATATTCGACCTGTCGAGTTGGTCGTTTGTATACAACGCCATTGAGTGCGCAGGCGATCCTTTTTTGTAACACGTCTACGATTCTTGCTATTGAGTAGAAGAATGGTGTGTACCTATTTTGTAGCGAATCAACATACTTTTGAGTTTGGAGTTTGTAATTGGGAAGTGAACTCTTTTCTGCAGCAATTTTTATCATGTCACGT